TTTAGAGAGTAAAATTGATTGAACATCGATATTCGAATTTAAGAAATTTTCCCCGAATACTCATAATGGTAGAAATTAACCCATATTAAATTACAGATTGTATAGATCCTTTCATTGTTCATGAGCTTAGAGGTGTTATATGTGAAAAACAGCCAGGAATGATGTATAAGGTTTTTCAAGTGATGTAGTGAAGACAGCACGAACATCTAGCTATCCTAACATTTTAACCAACAAATATCATCTTCCTATAATTTTCATTAATCACTATCAACACTCTTTTACATAGACCTTTTGATTTCTCTTTTTATTATGACCCTGTAACTAACCATTAATTTCGTCATATACGGACCTATTCTTATTACTCTTTATATGTTCCTACCATTTCCATTCCTTACCGAGCAAACTACCTAAAAAAAGTTTCTGTCATGTGATATGATGATTATAATCGGCCAATAAAATTTGATTAAACTTTTCGTATTTAATGATAAAAAGGCTATGCCTTTGTTCCTAGCACCAACCTATTGCTAGCATTTTTGTGGTTTAATTAATGGTTAACGAGCGTCTGCCTGTAAAAAAAAACACTTGTTACGGTATAGTAAGGCAACTTTATAGCTTTAAATTTAATAAAATTGGCATTATAAGATTGTACAAAATTAATTTAACAAAGCTATACGAACTTATGTAATATAATTTTTCATTGCTTACATATGGTAACCCAGACTTAATTTTTTATTAAAAAATTTTTTAACATCTTTCAAGATCTCACGATCCAGTACCAGTAAAAAATTTGAAATTTTTTATTGAAATATACATGAACCTGAATAGCTTATTAATAGACGTTTTAAAATCAAATAATAAAATTGAATACGTAATAATTATATCTTAATTGAATATAAGTAGAATTTTGCAGTAAAGTATCATCGATTGCGTAAGATTAACTAAAATAATACAATACTTATCTGTGAAATGAGCTATCAGTGAGTTATACTGTCTACGAAATGCACTTATAATAAAAATAGTATTATTGTATTTGTATGCTTTCTTTTATAATTAGCTATTTATTATTCTAGTCTATTGTGATAAGTTATAGATTTAATTTAAAACTGTTATAAATAATAATGAATTAGAATTATAGTTCTAGTATTAGATTATGTTCTAATTTTATTTTTTAGTACATGTATAGTAAACTATTTAGATTTGTATCTAGTTGAAATCTGTTTAGTCTTGATAAAATATATTTTTTGTTTAACTCTACGAAAACATTAACAGATGCAAGTCAATTTGAAAAATTTATTAAACCGATATTTTAACTTTGACCGATGTTCGATGACTGATCGATATCAAGATTTTTGATATAAGTCGATTCCACTATTTAGTTGTTTATTTCTGAGTTCAATAACTTACGTCAAAATTAGAATTTGTGTTACGCAAAGGTAACCGTTTTTAGGTCCTACAGATTCTATTTTGTGTTTTAAGTGCACTCTCTCTAACGTTAAGATTTTTTTTAGCCAAATATATCATGATGCTTCCAATTGCATACTATCCGATCAAAGGAATTTTCTATTTTTTTTCACACTGGATCTTGATTAAAAGAATTACATGTGTTTTATTCATAACCTTGATTGTTACTGTTGTTGCGTTTGGCTTGAGCTTTGGACTTTTACTTGGGCTTCAAACCCATGCTCTAATAAACGTGGGATGTCCTGTATGGCTCGCTTGGATAGTATCTTTTATATTTTGTTTACTTGAGGCCGTCCTATTTACACTTATCTTTTATCTTATTGCCACTCCAATATGGCAAGATGCTTTATTTGATGATGTTTTAAGATTAAGAGGGCTTGGTCACATATTAGAAAGGCATAGAACCATATCAGAAACTACACTTTGTTGTCGAGGGATATGTTCTGGTCTTACAATAACTTGTTTTCAAATATATGCATTAATATTATTACAAGTAAGTTTTTTAAGATCATTCATTGTAAATTCTTATTTACATTATGTAAATGTAATTTTTTTTCAATTTTTGTTGCTTTAGATATTGACGCTTCTTATTACATTGCCACTAAATGCATTACCGATAATTGGAACTTTACTATATTGTTATATTAATGGTTGGATAATGACATGGGGTCATCAATTGCATTATCATCTAGAAATAAAGGAGTTCAACGTAAAACAGTCAATCCGCTTCGCTTTGAACAATTCTGATGATTACGTAATGTTTGGAATGGTTGCCGTTGCTTTAGAATTGGTTCCTCTTGCTAATTTTGTTTTTTTTTGGACGAATGTTGTTGGAGCTGCTCTGTGGACTGCTGATGTAAGATTTCCTATAATGCATTTATCACATAGAATTAATTACTAACAATTACAACTCTTGACAGGTTATCATTGAAGAACAGAGAGGTGCTTCAAGAAGGTTGGTTAATCCATATGTGAATGTAGGTGGTGCTGGAATACCTCATTATGCTGTACGAAGAATGAATAATGATTCTTATGGTGCAACTTTTGTTTAGTGAATTACTTTAGCGGAAAGAGAAAATGTATAATCCCGTCTTTTCTTAAAATAGTCATGTTACTAATACTGCATTTATCCGATTCATTGTATTAAAATAACTTAAAATATTATCGATACTTTAAAATTTTTATCATTAAATAATTCCAACCTGTAGAGGTAAGAATTTAAAAAAGCGTGACTTAAAAAGTATTTCTTGCTATTATAGTGATGACATATTAAAAGGCTATCAGTTAACAACTGAACTATACCTATTTATTAAAAAATATTTTATACGCATAGTGATAGTAAATACTGCGTATGCAAACATATCGATATATTTGCAAATTTGCATTTGATTTTACTTAATTGGACTGTTGTGCATTTAGGTAAACGGTTTTATATATCGATATGCCAGAATCCTTACCTATTTCTGGCTTTTATAATATGTAAAATCGATATTCAGGACATATGTACACTGGATTCATTACCTATTACTATACATGTGTTAGCTTTCATGTATCAGAAACAATAATTTTATACGTATAGAATTTTGTCGTTCGTATTTGCCTGATCGGCATTTCAATTTTCCTAATCCTAACCGCAGCGATTTTCTGACGTAAAGAAAAAATTTTCATATACGTAAAAAAAAATAAGCCAAATTTGAAAAGAATTTTCTCTTCCAAAATAAATTTCGTTCACCTTTATAAAAATGACACGAGAGGACATAGACAATCCTACTTATAAAATTACAATCTACAAAGGTAGTTTCTCCTATTAAAATGATAACATAAATGTGTAATATCGAATTGAAGACATTGCAAGCATCTATTTTGTGGATAATCAAAGCATACAAGTACCCCCTCCACCGAATTCCGTTCTCAGGAATACGACAACTAATTGTAATGTTCTGTGTTGTCGTAATGAATTTCTTTTATTTCATAAATTTGCAATTACTCGTTTCTCCAAAATGGATCTGAAATTTTTAGATTAGAGAGACAAAAACAACAAATGATAAGCGGAGTTTCAGATCTTAGGACAAGTTTAATCGAGCATTAGAACAAAGTTATATGGTACAGAATTTTATGTCTTGTTTTATTAGTTCAAGATTTACAAAAATTCTTAAGTTCGTTTATATTAGGGTTAAGATCTATGTCAGGGTTAGAATTTAGAAATTCTACTAGTAAAATCGTTCAGAGAAAACGTTTTGTTAATGAGAAAAGGTGATTTTCTATATAGATTTAGTGTTTTAAGTGAATTTTAACAAACCGAACATTTGTTTTAAATTTTTCCGATCGCATAATGTTACACCAAATTGAGATTCATTATTGGCTTATTTCCATAGACAATCACGTGAATGTAGAAATTACATACGTAGTGATTTTTTTTGCCGATACTGAATAGAGTGTCTGATGCGATAGGATAAATTATGCAATGTCAATTATGTGATGAATATGAAAATTTTCTTAGAAGATGCGATTTATTTTGGTTGTTGCTCAATTCCCCGAAAACCACTTATCCAACAGTCCATTTACCCGATATCACATAGGATGACAATTTAGCATTTAGTTAGCTATATATTTTATAATAAATTTTCACTTCATGTGATGTTGGGTAAATAGACTTAAGGGTAGATAGTTTTCGGAGAATCATACCATAACCATCCTACACCAGGGATGGTAAATGACCTGAAATGACCCAAATAACTCAAATGACAAATAACTAGTCATTTGTCATTTCAAAATCCAAATGACCTTAGAAGGTCATTTGACATTTGTTGATTAATATCTAATGTTTTTTTAAAAAAAATATTAACGGAGGCCAATTAATATCTAATGTTTTTTACCAATTAAAATTGATTATTTTACAAAAATAAAATATAATTAATAATCATAATTATATATAAAAGTCAACTTTTTTACTAAGTTAATCGATATTTATATCTTAAGTAAAGTTTAGAAGAACAAATTACATATATTCTAAAAATTTTATTTAATTTTTATTAAGACATTTTTGTATTTTATATTTATACAAAAAATTTTTTAATTTTTTTATATAAAAGTAAACCACCAAATGTATTAATAAAAATTAAATAAAATTTTTAGAATATATGTAATTTGTTCTTCTAAACTACTTAAGATATAAAATATTTGATTAACTTAGTAAAATTTTGGCTTTAATATATAACTATAATTGTTAATTGATGAAATTATAATGTTCGATATTTTTTTATATTAGCTATTTGACCAATAAAATTACTTTATATTCAAATGACCCAAATGACCTAATGACCAGATTGACTAGGTCATTTAAATTTTAAGTAAATGACCAGGTCATTTACCATCCCTGCCTACCACTACAACAACCACTACAACCACTACCGACTCCGAGTCTTAGTTGCTTTCATAATTATCTTCCGAGAAATCTTAAAGAAAAGCCCGCTACTAAAGTAACAGTTACCTGTACTCTTACTGAAACTGCATGCACTACACCAACACCCAGTTGTATTCCTATTGGTGATCCATGTGCGCCTGAAAATGCTACTTTATGTTGCCCAAGTCAATACGGATCACCACGTTGTTTTTTTTCTAATCATTAGTATGTAGTACCAGTAGGAACTTACGTTGAAAATTAATATATTATATTTAATAAGTATCTTGTGATGTGCTATATATTATATAAATTTGTGTAACCAAATAATTTATAAATTGGTATATCATTTTTATATCGATATTAGATCCGAAATGCATTTTGCTAAATAAAAGATCTTTGATACTGAGGGAGATGAATATCTAAGAGTGTTAATTTGTTAAGTCCTTTTCATTTGGACGGTTTAATTCATTTTTATCTGAAAGAGTTATTTATTTCTTTAAAACATTTCTATGACATATAATAAGTGAATGTCTTTTGTTCGGACTGGTGGGCGAAGCCACCAATGTTAGCAATGCTAGCTGCAACTACCTATCAACGAAGTTTACAGAACTTACAGTAGAGATGTGATCCGTTGATCTGCAGTTTGTATATCCGTTCAACATACTCCCGGCCCGCATTAACCCTAAAATTCTGTTAGGGGACGTTTTTGATCTGGGTCAAGTTTAACTCGACCTAAACCAAATTGACCTGTAATATATATTCCTAGTTAATTGAGGTTAGAGTTAGGGTATATATGTTGCATTTAAAGTAGCGATTTATCTAAGCCACTGAAATTGGATCTTCGTGCATGCATTAAGTTATAATTTTAACCAGGGAGCTACTTTAGATATATAAAGTAGTTTATACAAATCACTACTTTAGATATATAAAGTAGTTTATACAAATCACTACTTTAGATATATAAAGTAGCTACTTTATACTAATCGCTACTTTTAGATGCGACAAAATCAACCCAAAAAATGCGGGTTTTATATAAAAATTCCGAATCCATTTAAATTCCGGTTCTACTTACAATATATATATATATATATTAAACCAATTTTATTATTTATGCTAATACCACTAGAAAACCTATAAGCATGAATTAAGTTCAGAAAACTGCGAGAGTCGAACGTACTCATCGTAAATGACTATCGCTGACGCTAAGATGCTAATCAAATTACGTAATGACAATTTTTCTAAAGTCCCAGATAATTAAATTAGATCCAGTTATTTACAAGTCGTCATGTTTATAGTCAACATGAGACAATTCTTTGTTATTCGCTTTATCTGATTATCTGTCGGAGTTTGTCAAAGAATTACATTTTATGCAATGAAAATTGTGCGGAAAATTTCGTAGCGATAAGTATATCCCAAAAATTACAATTTTTCAATTGAGTTTTTTTTTTACATAAATTTTTAATTTAGAATAAAGCTAAGAACACTTTGCACTTAAGATATGAAAATAGTTGTATTAATAAAATTTTGCAGTATAGCTCTTCAAAGTTTGCATTTTCTTATAATATAAAAATTGATTTTCCAAGGGTCTTTTTTTTTGTCATTTTCGGCCCTTTTTACAGCACCTAGCCATATATTTAATATTACGTAATTGAAATAGAGTAGACTACTAGTAATCGTTTCGATAGTATTTGCATGCCCAGAACATTGATCGGGGATTAAATTACGTAACACAATTTTTCAAAAGTCCAGACCTTCCCTTGGCATATATACTTGCAATCAAAACATTAGATAAAAACGTTAGATAAATATTGAACATGGCAAGACAGCAGTTTAGTAGAGTTTGTTATTTATTAAATTCAAAAAGTAAACAAAAATTACAAAAAGTTATACAGTTATATATTCAAGCTACTCTTTTAGGCTTTAAATGTTTAGAGGATTTGATGGTAGTAGTTTTAGCATTTTGAATATCACAACGATTCTTAGGATAAAGTTGTTGACGAACATCCAACTTCGTCTTTATAACGTGAGAGTTATCTGATGATTTTGTAGTCTTGGCAATTACTTTAGTTGAGGCGGCTAATGTAGAGCGCGAGTTAGGTTTAGTTACCGAAATTGAAGACCGTGAATCTAAAGTTCGGCGAATGATACCACCATTAACATTTCGATTTTGTTGAATATGTGCCGACGATTTATTTGAGTGAATTGATGCACTTGAAACTGGTTTTCTTGTTTGAGCAGTGTTCATAGTTCTATGATGTTGTACAGAAGTGGCAGAGGAACTTGTGACACGCGAATTTATTGGTCCTGTACGCCCACTTGAATTCATGTGAGATGTCCGAGAGGATGCAGGATTTGTGAAGCGAGAGTTTACGTGAGAGCGTGGACGAATATTTGGATTATTTGGATTATTGGGATAATTTGGATTATTTGGATTATTGAGATAATTTGGATTATTTGGTAAGACGGAGTTTGCTTTTCTTTGAGAGGAAATAGCACCAACAGTAGGATACGGCTCATGACGTAAATTGTTTTTTAAAGCAACTTGACTATTTGCTGATGTAATCGATTCCTGTTGTTTAAATACTGGACGATAATAATCACTCCTTTCATAATTTCGTCGTAACTTTTGAAGAGGAGTTAGTTTTTGCCAACCTAACAACAAGTGATTTCAATTAATTGCATTTATTTAAATAAACTGACATAATAATATTGAAACAAAATTTTTACCCGATTGCCTTTTTCTTCTGTATTTTCAAATCAGATATAAAATAGTTTAGCTAAATAAATATAAATAAAAATTATAGGTAATATTTTAATAGTAAGTCACCTGGATGGATCATGTAAACCAGGTAGAATTTTTATTTTCTTTTCTTCTTTTTGTCGATCATGTTGTTTTTTAGATTGCCGTAATTTTTCAAGTGCACTAGCTAGTCTTTCCGCCTGTTCTTCTTTTGATCTCTATAAGTTAGAAAAGAATATTAAATAATGATATTAAATTCATTAATATCTGATTAAACAAGTTATTACCCAATAAAGCTGACGCCAATCTTTATTATCTGAATCAACAAACTTTCTTGAAAGGTTTGGTTGATCTCGAATAAAATGATCCTTCCATAATTCCATATCCTCATCCATAAGGTGCGGATTTGCTTTTTCCAAACTCCTTAATTCATCCGGAGTGCAATGTCGAAGGACTCGCTTTAACAAGTAGTAAGGTGCTTTACCCACTTTGTATAAAACTAAATAATTCAAAAACTATAAGATCACTTAAGTTAACCAATAGTTTTTACAAGAACATATGCACAAGACTTACGATGCTTATGGGAAATTAATTTTTTATAACAAAGCTCAAGGAGCTTAGGAACGGAACTTTTTTTCATAACCGCACGACTTAAAACTGAAGTTGAAGACATGCCTATTTACAAGATATTTTCAATATACAGGTTAGTTGTAAAGTTATTATATTATAGCATATATTAAATAAGTTTTTCAAATCATTTACCTTATAAATGATAATGTTTATAAATTAAAAGAAATTTTAGAAATTTTTACATATAACCTATGTGACTGATACTATCAAAAAAGGTAAAATACGCGAATACAGCATACTGGAAGGATAGAAATAAAACCTTTAAACAAACTGCGAACACAAAGCTCAAGTAAGGCAATGAAAGAAAATACAGTAACACACCTATGCCACGTCAAGTGAAGGCGAAGAGGCTGTAAACGTGAAATAGAATAATATAGCAAGCGACAGTCAAATATATAGTTCAAGTTAAAAAAGTATAGAATAGTATTAAATATAACGATAAACATAAATAAATTGTAAGTCTTAATAATTATTTAAAAAACAAAGAATATTCAAGAATATTCAAAAGGGAGGCGAAAGTATAGAATTTGAGACGAGTTTATTATGGCTGTACATTTAAAAATACATATCGAGGTTGACAATGATTTCCAGAATTTATTATAAAATTTGTCATCGTGTAACGACGCACTGAAACCTCGCTTAAGTGGGAGGTCTTTGAAATCTCCTACGTATGATTTAAAATTCCCTTGCGTAATCTATCTGATATAGATTTGCATAACGCATTTATATATAAATAAATCAGTACTTATTTTATTGCCTAAAGCCAATTTTCTCATTTTACCCACATGGGACTAAGCCCAGCTTAATCTATTGCTATATCGATATGTAGTGGTGGCTAAATCTCTCTCTTTTCAATGGAGAATTGGTGTTTTAGTCTAGTTTATATACTTGAATGAATGAATAAAGATTTATATATCTTGAACAACATTTTGTATCACAATTATAGTATATAACAAAAAGAATATAACAAAAAGAATGTAACAAATGAATATAAATGAATATGAATATAACAAATGAATACGTATAACAAAAGAATATAACAAATGAAATGATTAATAATTGTCCGGAGCAAAGCGGACAAAAAAATTAAAATAATATATAAAATAAATCGCTCATTAACACAGAAGTACTTGGCACTTCCGTGCTTACGGGCACAAGATATTCAGCCTAAAAGTGCTTGTCATCTTTGTACTCATGAGCGCGAAGTGCCCGACCTAGAAGTTCCCAGCGCTTGTGTCCTACTTGTGTCCATGTTTACGTACACGACCAGTCTTAACTTTAAAAAGCACCATACACATATTTGATATTCTCCGATTATAATTAGGATTTATTACTACGTGGCACAGGTACATATATACATTTGTCAGATCGGAAAGTTAAATATGCTCCGGGTCGATAGCGATAGTTTAATAGGGTTTACTAATTTCCCGAATTTTTTTTTTTTTTACCATTACGAGATCTATATTTATCAAATTTTATTTATAATCATTGGAAGGATGCAAATTTTATGATTTTAGAATTTAAGTTTCACATCAGTAAAATACTTCCGTTTAATTCTGAACTGATGCATGAAAAGTATGAATGTGTACCTCAGCTAACAAATGAAATCCTCAAAAAAAATTGAAAATTTCAATCGAAAAAATGTCATTATTAAAGAATTATACAAATTATCTAGTATATTTTAAGTGGAAACGGAGTTTAAGGAATTTGGAATTTCTTAAGATTTTAGGGTTAAAGTGTAGACTCATTTATAATTTTTATTAAGAAATTCCCCACTTACGACATATATATTAGAAATTAAGTTTCAATGTAGTGAAAATATACTGTTTATCAAATCTATGTATTAGTCTTAAAAGTATGTATAGTAGGCCACAAAAGTAATGTCCGAATTTTCATTAAAATAAAAAATTTTTATTCATTTAATTTCTGTCTTTCATAAATCTTTTTTTTACATTTATTTAATATTTGCATGAATGACTCCCTACGTTTGATATTTTTTGATCCTTTACGGCACTGAGTTTACAACTGCTGGAAGAATTAATACCTTGAAATTTGCCTATACCGTATTTTACGGTCCAAACCACCCCCTGTCATAAAATAACTATGGTGCATATTATAGTTTATTTATGTGTAACAATACATCAATAACCTTACTAAATGAATTTCTTGGATCAATTGAATCCGACAGGGATAATCCAACAGGGGGTGCTTATTAAAGTAACAATTTGCATATGACCTATTATGATCCTTATAACTTTTATAATCATCATAGGTTATAAGGTTATAAAAAACAATGTATATGAATTATGATTTAGTATCCAATAAAAACTGTGAATAATTAAACAAAAAAATACATTTAACCTTTTGTGTCAGATTATATTAATTATTGTAATATAAAAAAAAAATAAATTATTACAATTTATTATATATAAGGGCGAATCTATTTGTCGCCGGCGGTGACAGTCACCGGGTTGCAATTGGCCAATCACATCACGGGATCATGTGTAATGTTCGTGTAACCCGAAAACGAAGAAAATATTGAAATTTTTCAAAAATTCGTGATAGCTCAAAAATTCGTCTATGGAAGTACCTTTTGTGTTCTAATTAAAAAAATTCTTTACGAAATTTTATTATAAACTAAGCCCTAATCTAATTCTAATCAACTCCAACACTGAATCTAATGATAATTAACTTTAGTGTGTGTTTTGATTCTATAGCTTAATTGCAATCCGGTGACTGTCGCCGCCGGCAACAACTAGATTATTTCTATATATAATATTAAAAATTAAATAGTTAAATAGCAAAATTATTTAAAAATAACTTTTTGTTAAAGTATTAAAAATTATTTCTTATACTAATTCTTAAAAAATAAATAATTTTAAACAAATTAAACATTTATTTTAAAAAATTTTTAATTATATTAAAATAAAAACATTTGTAAAATTGAAATTAAAAAGGATGTAGTAACTTAATGAAATGAATAAGTTGTCAATCCCCAAATAGTAAGTTGGATGTTAAAATCCTATTAACAACAAAAATTTGAATAATTACTGATATAATACTTATATTATGACAACTGTTTCTAATAATTAAATTAAAATATTTGTACTAGCAATTATATTAGCATAACTGGCAGGTTATGAAGTATCTGTATAACTAATTACATATAGAAATACAAACTGATATCAAATGATACAAACTCTAGATTTGTTTTTGTGATTGTGCAAATCTGTTAAAATTAGAAAACAAAAAGTTCATTTAAAAAAATTTGAATAAAAAGATATTATAGATTTTTAACAATATTACTATAAAGATTAAATCTAAAAAACAAATATTAATATTAAAATACTCAGATGAACAAAAATCTTTAAGTAAAAAATAACAACTCTCCCCTGTAGATCTTTCAATCAGAAATTGTTAAGAAGCAAAACACAGAAAAACTACAAAACCAACTAGGAAACAATACTTAAACCCTTAACAAGAAAGGAGCAGTAGCAAAAGTTACACCTAGCTAGAAAACAAAACATAAGCAGAAAATATAAAAATAGCATAGCTTAAGATAACTTTAAAAAATTTCAATGAAAACAAAAATTTTGAAAAATTTTAGAGAATTCCTGTGATCCTGTTATGAAAATTAATTTAGATTATATGAAAAGCACCAAAAATAAGTAAAGTAAACAAACATATATAGTAAGATAGTCCATTAGAATAAGCACATGACATAGCAACAACTAAACTAAAATAGCCAATAGCTGAAATACATAAGAAAGATATTATAGAATACATTAAAGGTATAGGAGACAGAAATCGCAGATATGTAGATTGCAAGATTTTAGACCA